GGGTTGCTGAGATCAGCTCACGGGGCATGCTTGTGCCTGCAGGGAACTACCCTTTCTTGCATCTCTCCTGATGGCCCAGAACACTGACGATGGGTTGGAGGTAGGGGTCTGTCACTCATGACCCCTCAAAAGTCCCTGTAGGATCATAGTTCCAAAGAAGGAAGTGTGAGCCTGTTCTGCTGTTGGCTTTAGATCCCCCAGCTTGACTTTTTAGCTTGGACTGGAAACCAAACCCTCCTGCATGGGCCAAAGCAACCCAATCTTGGAAAACTGGAGAGAAATCCTTTTGGGTTCGCTCCTCAAGGGCCAGACACCCCAGGCAGCAATAGCAGCTACTAGGCGGCAGTAAGAGATGACAAAAAAAGTCTGGTCTTTATTCGAAATCTAAGGGACCTGAGTCCAAATCTCTTGGCTGGTGACCTTGAGCAAGTCATCTTTCTGAGCTTCATTTTTCTCATCTGAAATGGGATTTATATGCTCAGTTCCCAGGCTCTGTGCCTGTTCACCACGTGGAAAGTCCCCCGTGAAGATCCATGCTCTGTCCATGCCAGCCCTGGCCCGGGCCCATTTTCTTGATACTGAGCTGACTCAAATAGATGGATGGGCTCTAATTGTTTCAACAACATGTCTGAGTTTCACAGGGCTTTTCCTCGGGAGCCTTTGTCTCAGGGCCATAAATCACCGGGCAACTGTCCCCATGGTTGGCTGGGACTTCCTTCCCTTGGTTGGGGCCGGCTGGAGGAGGGAGGGCAGAGTGGGGAACAGGCCTGCTTTTCACCATTAGTTTTTAAATCTCTAATTGGGAGTCTTACTTACTCAGCGATTCCAGTGGTTCCTTTTGTAATGGCCTCTTCTCGGCCCTAGGGCAGTCTCCCTCCCTTCCTCTCCACTCTGCTTCCAGATTAACTTCCTTTGAGCAAGAGGAGCATTTTCACTAGACAACACATACACACGCTGTCCCGCTATTTCTCTTGACAACTCACAGGAGCCCTTGTCAGTTGGTCCACGTCTTAAGTTACTTCATGAGGGGAGATGTTTCTTTTGGTCCAAGAACAGCAGTGAACAACCCCAGATCTTCCCCAGCCTATAGGCCCTTGTCTCTTGTGAGTCTTCCTGGTTCACTCATTCTGTTCTCTCATCCTGTACTTGACATTCTTGAAGATCCCTCCTGCCCCAGAAGGCTCCTTTCTGTCCCAGGACATTTGCGCTTGCTGTTCTCTTGGCGTGTGTCCTTCCTTGGGCTCTTCACATGGCTATCTCCTCATCACTCAAGTTTCATTTAAATGTTACAGAGCCTTCCCTGACCATCCTGAACCACAGCCAAAGTCATATCCCAAAAGTTAAACTGATGACACACAATCCACTTCCTTCCTCTGACTTTTCATGGTATCTTCACAGACATTTGTGTGATGGCAGATTTCACAGGTTGAATCCCTTCCCCACTCTTGACTATCAGCCCCATGAAGATGCTCTGTCTCCTCAGTACCTTTCTCAGTATCTAGCACATTGCGGGCTCTCAACAAATAGGATTATTGACCAAAGAAACGAATGAATGAATGTGGATGAGGTGGAGAGTGAATGAGTGGGTGAAGGAATAATTAACTGAATGAGTGAGTGAACAAATGAATGAATGAATTGTAGAGTGAATGGATGAATGAATGAATGAGTGAGTGAATAAATGAATTCCAGAATGTTGTGCAAAGGCTTGTTTTCCTGTCTCAGACAACCAAGAGGTCACCCTGTTTGACCTCTTATCCCCTGGAGACAAATCTCATTCAAAATCATCCTTGAAATCCTCTTTCCACTTGGTGATCTGCCTCCAACCTCCTCCCTTCTTTTTCCTTTTAACATTTTTATGAAAATCTCCAACATACACAAAAGCAGAGAGAATGTTAATAAACCCTTCTGTACTCCTTACCCCACTCTCTCTCTCATTGGAGTATTGAAAATAAATCCCACACATCTCATTTCATGCATAAATATTTTAGGGGGTATTACTAATAGATAAGCACTTATTTTAAAAAACACAATCACAATACTATCATCGGCTCTAATGACAACAAAACCCAGTTTCTTTAATATCTAATATTTGCTTGATGTTCAGACATTTCCAATTGTCTCACACATACCTTTTTACATTTAGTTCATTCAAATTAGACTACAAACATGGCACTAGGTTTATATGTCTCTTAAGTTTCTTTTCAACTAAAACAACACCTGTTTCTCCCCCAACATGAAAATGACAGTTTTCTCTCTCTAATGCCATGTGTTTCTTGATGAATCTGGATCATTCATCGTGCAGTGTTTCATGGCTCACTGATTACCTCCTTGTGGTGTCAGCTAACGTGTTCCTCTGTTCCCTGTGTTTCCTGGAAACCAGCAGGAAGTCCTGATCGGATGACAGTCACATTCGATTGTTGGCCAGAAGGCTTCTCGGATGGCGTTGCACATTCCTTGTTGCATAACATCCTGACGACTGGTCGGCTCTCCTTTAAAGATGTTAAGATTGATCAGTGGCTAACCCTGCCCTTCTTAATGAACTCCTGACTCCATCTCTATTTCCATTGCAATATGAACTTGTTTTGCAAAACAAGTCAGTTGAGAACATTGATCATATCGAGCAGATGTGGGCGCAGCAAGGTCTGATGGCAAGTGCACTGATTTAGAGCATCAGACAGGAGGTTTAATTTCTCTGCATTTCAGTGTCCTTGACTATAAGATAGGACTAGTAATAAGGCTAATGATAGTACCATAGTAGCCCAAAAGTGGCTTTGAGAACTAATGCTTGGGGGAAATACTATGATCTTACTGTGTATTAACTCACTCTTCCTTTAATCCTATGGAGTGTATGTGCTTTTAGCCCCATTATGCATATGGGAAAGAGGAGGCAGAGACTGGTTGGGTGACTTGCCCAAGGATTCATAGCTAGTAAGTGGCAGAGCTGGGGCTTGAACCCAGGCAGTTAGGTTCTAGATCCTGTCCTCTGCCACACAATGCTATGTAATGCACGAAGTCAATGGGAAGTTTCTTGCTTTCCTCCATGCCAGATGCTTGTCAAGTCATTGGAGGGTAGGAGGACATGTTAGTTTTCAATCTAGAGAGAGAGAGAGTGTGTGTGTGTGTGTGTGGGGGGGGTGTTGAAGTATAGCAGCCCCCAATGGGAAAGGGGATTTGCTCTTTGAGTTCTACGAAGTCATACTTTCTGCCTCTCATTGCTGTGAGGTGAGCCAGAACCAGCTTGAGAAAGTTACACGCTTGAGAGTGGTTAGGAGATACAAGATCCCACTTCCATTTAGGTGAGATCTGACCTTTCCAGGAAAACGCTCCTGGAGCCCAGAGAAATTAAGTGCCTTGCCTAAGATTGTATAGAAAAGTTGTCCATTGAGCTAGGATTAGAACGCCAGGCTCTCTCAAGCCTTGCAGGTCCTCTCATGCCCATTTGAGGGGGCTCTTTTTCTAATCACCCCACGCTGTCTAGTCATGTTCACTTAGGGCCGACTCCTCTGAGAGGGAAATGGACATACCTGCTAGTGTCACTGTCGACACGTAGGGCTTCCCTCCTTGGTCTCTATGGTGGCTGTCTAGGTCTGCTGACTTACACCCCAAAGGCAATCTGGGAACTGACCCTTCTACTCCCTTGGCCTCAATCTTGAAGCAAAGGAAAACAGAGGTGCTGAGCCAGGATTTGAACCCAGTTCTTCTGACTCCGAGTTCAGCAGGGCCAGGAGCCAGGCCAGGTTTTCTACCGCAACTACAGGCCTATCCTCCAGATAAGGGAAGTGAGGGCCAGAGAGTGGCTCCAGGAGCTCATGCAGCCTCACCCACAGCATGGGCCCAGCTGGCCCCTGCTACCCTGGGGCTTCCCAGAGGGGTCTCCCCACCTACATGTAGACCTTGGAGGGGCTCTCGTGAGCTCTGAGAGCCGAGAGGCTTTCTGAGCCCAGTGAGCCAGGCCCTGTCTTCCAGTCTGTGGTCCAGCTCATCTGATTACAAAGGCCCAGATAATAATTGAAGGTGGCTTTGGGCTCCCTGAGCAGGAGCCGGCGCCAACGCCTGGTGGCTCTGTTGGCGCCTTGAGCCCTGGGCACTCGTTAATGGACTGTGGCTGATCCTGGGACTGATTGGCTGCTGGCCCCAAGGTCCTCAAGGGGATCCTGGAAATTGTGGCCTGTAGCCTGGAGACACTGTCCCTTGTGGGAGCCACAGGAGGCTTCCGGCTGATCCAAGGCAGGAGGAGCTCTGGGCCCACGGTGGTAAGGGGAGAACTGTGACCCCTCCCCTTCCCCAATCACTGGGATAAGATGCAAAATGAACCTTCCAGAATATGAAATTTAAAAAGTGGTCAAAATGCTGATTCCTCACTTCCTCTCCCCATAGCTTCCCTGCCCTGCTCTCCTGAGCTGGTGAGCATAATGCTCCTGCCCCTGTCAGAATGCTAGTGGGACCAAGAAGAATGCTCAGGGGTTCTTAAACACTGCATTGTACAGAGACAAGCCAGCCACTGTCACTCCCAAGACAACAGGGAAGAAATGAGCCCTTCCAGCTCCCTGCTTTCCTGGCCCAGGACACAGCAGAGGCACAGGGGCCAGAGCATGCAGGGAATAGCACAAGGGAAGGTTGGGTATTAGGGACAAGAGGCTAAAGGAGCAGGACCCAAGACAATTTAAAAGTCTCAGGCTTTAGCTGGTTGGCAATAGGGATCCATTGAAGGCTTCAAAGGGAGGGCAGGAGAGTGACCTGCAGTCTGTCCGGAGTCATGGAGCTTTCTTAAGCATATTAGTAGGGGTAAAAGGCTGAAGCTTCTGACCTTTTCTTAGGACACCCAATATTTATGCACTTTGTTCATCACCCAAATTTTATTCATATCCAAAGAGTGTGAAAAAGGCGCTTTAGGAAACTGGTATAAATTCAGAGCAAGTCACCATGGTAACCTGATTAGCAGCTAAATTAAGTTCATGATTAAGAAGAAATAAATAAAAATAACCCTCTTTCTTGACTAGGGGTACCCACTGGTGAATGCAGAGACCTTGGAAAGCTGGGGCCTGAGATGCTGGGGTCAAGGCGAGAGGCATGGATTTGCAGTTGAGAAGCAAGAAGCTGCGCGTTAACCCTGCCTGGGAGTTGGTGAGGCCCCTGGCGGCCAAATCAGGGAGTGCAGCCTATGCCTCTGAGGAGGAAAACAAAGGTTTCACAAGGGGTGCATTCCTCCCAGATGTCTTCTGGATGCCCTGACCTAGCCTGTCTGAGCATCTCTTCTATGTATTGCTACCCCTCCAGTGCTAGGACTCCATTTGTTAGGTGCTCGGTTCCAAACATCACTCAGACCTGATGGTCCCAGAAGGGTCTAGAAGGGCCTAGAAGGGCCCAGTTTAGCAGACCATTTAGGCGGGCGTGATAAAGGGAGATCAGTGTAAGATGCTGTGGAAACATGACTAGCCAGGCGGCTTCCTGGAGGAGGTGATGCCTAAGAAAAAGACAGATGTGTGACAGCTAGGGAGTGCCTACTTCAGGTAAACATTTTCAACCTTCTGTTTGGAGTCACTGGTAGCCTGATGGTACCCCAAGGCTGGCATTAGCTTTGGTCCTGATGAGGGATCTTCTTGGAGGGTTGTGTTGTTAGCACATCACAGGGATTGACAGCAGGAGAAGCCAGTGCAAAGAGAAAAATGATCCTGCCACTGGCCCTTTCCAAGCTCCTCCTGGATAGATCAGGCTGGTGCAGTGGTTACAGTCAAACAGGCTTTGAATCCTCTTTCTGTCACTGTTAGCTGTGGCCTCCAGAGAGCAATTTCACTTATTTGAGACTCACTCTCACTGTCTATAGAATGGGGAGGGTATTGATGATAGCACCTATTTTGTAAGGTTACATAGGAAGACTAAGCAAGCTGGTGTAGGACACTCAGTAAGAATGTGGCTGCTGTTAATTTCACTACCTGGGAGTGTCAGCCATGACAGTGGAAGAAGAGAAATGGCTGTTGTGGGGTGGGAGCAGACCTGACTGAGCTCCCCGTTGATGCTAGAGTTGAGGCTCCTTTTCTTCCTAGTTCCACTCAGCTGGTGACTGAACAGAGGGCTGGGAGGAATGAGGCTCCGCTGCTGGCCCATCCCCACAAGATGTGAGGCTGCCAGCAGTGCCTTTGTCCCAGGGACACCCTGGGAGCCACACCTGAAACTTTCCTAGAAGGGAGCTGCTGTCTGAGACTCTTCCTCCTGCCCTCCTTCCTTTCCCCTCTCCTCTCGCAGATGTCAGGCCTGCGTCTCGAAGGCTCCCCCGTCTCTTCCTGCCCCCTCTCCCTACCCTTTACAGCTGTTTCCCCAAAAAGTCTCTTGTATATCGAACCTCGCTTTGGCATTTGCTTCTCAGAAGACTCAAAATGAGAGGGTCAGAGGGAGAATCTCACAGGTGGGTGGCAGTGGAGGTGGAAATGAGACCCCATAGCAGGTCACACAGGAGAAGTGTAAGGACCTTCAGAACCTTCAGTGTGTCCTGCCTTGGTGTGTGTGTGTGTGTGTGTGTGTGTGTGTGTGTGTGTGTGCACCTCAGCCCTCTGTGCATGCTTCCATCATGACATCAACTACAGTGTAGTGAAACAAAGTCAGTTTCTACCAGAAGACGAGCTGCTCAGTCTGTTCCTGGCATTGAGCCCCACGGAAGGCTTCCCACAGCCGATGCTCAAATTCCTGAATGCCCTGGGACCTGTCTCTATCGTGCATTTTTCTTTGAAGCAATTTTGTTTTCATTTTCTGGTATTTCGAATTGCATCATGTGAGCTTATTTTGGCTTTTTCCATCCTTCGTTTCTGTGACAGAGACATATATGCTCAGATATGTAAGTAAATCTTCATGCCTATGTAGAGGGGAGACAGCGGCCTTGCTTCATAGACATCACACCTGCCAGCAGGCCCTTTAAGCCTGCCCCCCGGCCCCCCGCCCCCATCTCTGCCCAGCCCACACCATGCCCTTTCTAGAATCGAGCTCGGAGTCTCTCAGCTCAGCTGGACTGGATGCATCTTCCCTGGGTCCTCTCCTCCTCTCCCCCCACCTCTAGTTCCCAGCTTCTCCCCCATCTCTCCCTCCCTGCTCCGCAAGCTCAGGGAAGCTGCAAACCCAGCCCTTACATCAAAAGGGAACTTGAAAAATACTTGGAGCAAAAACTGCTAACTGTGCATCCTTGCTCCGTGCTGGCTCTGATATTAAATCAGGAAATGGCACTGAACAGCCGCTCCAAACACAGAAACAGGGGTTGTCAACACAGAAACCAAAAGCAATCTCTAATGGGAGAGGTGAAAAGGAGCTGGCACAAGGCTGGGATGGGGGCTGAGACCCAGGGCCGGGTATCCAAGTCCATGTGGGATCTCCGACCCTCAGAGTGGAGCCTGGCTGGCAGCCCCTGCCCAGTGTGCACCTGGTCTTCACGAGATGAGAGAGTAAGTCATGCTGGTTAAATACCTTTAGACTGCTACTTTCCGTTTCCACTGATACTTACTGAGCACCTGCAATTTGCTCGACAGTGAATGAAAAAAAGATGCCGTGTGTCCTATGCAGAGATCATCTAACCCTTAGCACAGAGGGCTGACTCGTTGGCACGCATGCACTCCTGCAGAAAGCCTGCAGCGTTATCTTTAGCCTCTCTGAGAGTTCCCCCAGCCAGCGCCTGGGATGGTGCTTCTGCTCTGTGCCTTTACTTGGGCGGATGAACTACTAGGTCTTCCTGTACTTCTCTGTTTTTCTGCTCAACCTTGGAAGCCCTCGTTAACAGCCACCTCCACTTTGCAGCCTATTGCCAACTCCTCCCCACACCTCCAGGCTCATTTGCTTGGGATCCCCCAGCACTGGACTTAGCACCACCATCGGACCAGCTCTCCAGCTGCAGTGGGGGGGTTTGCAATTCCTTGGAGGGGGAGAAAGAAGCCAGGCCCATCCCAGAGCACTCCTTGTCCCAGTACTGGTCATAGAATTGTCATAAATAGAATTGCCATAAAAAAGAAAAAACGTTTCCTTTCACATGTTTCTGATGGGGAATTGAATATGTGCCATCTTCTTGAGACTAATTTGATAGTATTACTATTACAAATGCACTCAACTTTCAGTCTAGCATCTTCAATTCTTGATGTCTATTCTGGACAAATACTTGCACACATGCAAAACAGAACATGGCAAAAGCTATTGGTTGCTGTATTGTTCGCCATGGTGAAAGATTAGGAATGGCTTCAACGTCCATCAATGCAAGACTGGACAAAAAACTACAGAGCCTTCGGTGGCTGGAATGTCGTGGAAGTAGATCTCCGTGTAGTGACACAGAAGTTGCTGAGTAAAAGTAAAAAGCAAACTGCAGCTCTAGACATAGATGTTAAAACTACACTGTTGTATTTTTTGCAGTTCTCTTCTATATTTTTTACAATTCATTTTTCAAAGAAGAAACAGAAGCAAGAGATTGAGTGACTACAGCAGCCCCTGGCTGAAATAAGCCTGGATTGGACACAAACAGCATCAGAACTTCCATGGGCCCCCGCCGTAGACCCTGATAGAGGGTGTCACCCACCGCCCCTGTACCCAGAAGCTTGCTTTCCTAAGCTTTGATGAGCATGCATCCAAGTGTAGGGGTACCCTGGGTCTGTGGCACGTCCAGATAAAGGAGGAGGAAGAGGGGACCAGTGGGGTAGGATGGCTCAGATCACACAGCCTTTGTCTGAGTTGGTCCTTGGAGCAAGAGGGAAGGAGAAAAGATCATCCAGGAGTGGTTGTTGACTAAGGGGGAGGGGAGGGTTGGAGGGCTCGAGAAAAGGCCCAAGGGTTCTGGACATCATACTGCATCAGCTTTGCCTAGTTGGTTACTGCATTGGTTCTTCCACAGCTCCTCCTGGTGTGGACGTGCGCTGGCCACTTGGGGACACAGAGATGACTCCAACAGAGTATCTAGTTCCGTCTAGTTTCTCATAGTGTGTTTTTGGACCCATGCATCATAGTGAGCCAGAGAACTGATTCTCTACAAATTTGGGTACTCCACTTAGACCTCTAAAGTCAAGTTGGGGCTCAGGAACCTTTTTATGAATGGACTAGCTGACCATGGCATTGCCTTGACCTTCCCTGTGTTAGCTCCCAAGGCCTCTCCCAAACGTGAGGTCTACCCTGGTCCAGGCTGGGGGCACAGAGGCAGGAGTCCTGCTAGCTGACTCCACGCGTGTGCAAGGACCCTGCTTTGGCTGCTGGGCTCTTCTCCCCACCTCCACTCCCTGGTATGGTCCCAGACCCCCTGAGGCCTTGGAAGAGCCAAGACCAGCTCTTCTAACTAAGCCCTTCAGAATCAAGAGACAAACTCGCTGTAGACAGGAGGCATGGCGTGCATGGAGGAGTAGAGCTTTCATGGGCTGTGGAAGAGCTTTCAGGAGGCAGTGATCATGGGGCATAGGGAGAGGGGTGCAGTGAGAGATTGGGGACTGGTTGGTAGGAACAGATCACTCAGGGCCTGGAGGCCTTGCCAAGTTGGTTACTTTCTTAAGCATCAGAGGAATTTGCACTAAAGATGGGGGGTTAGGTAAAATGATGAGATTCATAGGCCATGAAAACTGGCTCCACTGTCTTGTGGGGAAAAAATTCAAGGCATTTGTCATTGTCTAAGCAGAACATGTGGCATCATACGGGTGAAGGCAATAGATGGAGATACAGATCTTGAGGTGGAGGCATGCACACCTGGTGAAGGTTGGGCTGGGACAGGTGATGGCCTCAGCCCAGGGGAGCAATGATGAGGCTGCAGAGTCTCTAAGGCTGGCCCTGGGCTCCCAGGGAGGGGATGCAGGGAAAGGTCCCACTGGCCACCAGCAGCTCTCAGTGACCGTGAGCACTGAACTCTGCCTCTCTCTCTCTCTCCTGTATTTAAGAGATGAGTGCAGGGATGGACAGATGGATGGAGCTGAAGGTCAAACTCAGGGCAGAGGATTGAGGTCAAGATCAGAGATCTGGCTGAGGCCAAGTGTAAAAGCCAGGATGAGACGACTGCACAGTCGCTCTCCTTTGGCTTCTCTCCTACCCTCCAGGACCACAGTCAGGGAGGAGGAAAGTGTTGGAGCCCAGGGCTGACTGCCCCTGGCATGTTAACCACCATCCCTATGATTGGGCCCTCGTCAGAGGCTTGACACTTGGTGGAGCTGCCAGTGACCTGGATGGAACCACTCATTTTGCAGGGAAATGAAAATCCTAACCCAGGGAACAGCCCGAGAACCGTGGGGACACTCAGGTCCCCCAGATGCCGTCTGTTGAGACAGAGACCACATGGTTCAGTGCATTTAGAGCCCTGGACCCGGGACAGGAGTTCTTGCTCATACTACTGTGCAACTCAGGAAACCACTCAGGATGGAGGCCACTCCTACCCACCTCACAGGACAGCCGCAAGGGTTCATGGGTTGATAAAACTATTAGGACTTAGGACGCTGCTATCGGTCTATGTTTACCTACCTAACTGCCCACCCATCTCTGTAAAATAAGCACGATATTAGTTGCTACTTTCTACAGTGGTGAGAATCAAAGGGAAAGAAGAATGCTAAAATATTTTTGCAGATGCCCACGCAGATGGGAGTGAATAGGGTTATCAGGTATCCCGTCCTGCTGGAGGCAAACTGCCCTCTGGTTGCTTAACACAGTGCTGTCCACAGGGAGCAGAATACAAGCCGTGGATGTAATTTAATACTTTCTAGTATTCATGTTAAAAGAAAGAAAAAAAAGAAATAGTTTCAATAAAAATCTCCCTCCAAGGGTGTGTGGGGAGGTCCCTGAGACCCAGAGAAAAGAACCCGGGAGAGGGCCCTGCAAAGTGGGGGTGACTGTCTCTCTACTGGGCCCCTTTGCATGCTTAATGCCACCAGCACCTCGAGCTCCAAGAATGCCTTTCTGAAAGCACTGGGCTGGAATCCGATGGCCCTTGTCAGGGGCAAGGAATGCCGGTGGACGTGACAGCTGCTTTGGGAAATAGGAAGAGGAGGAGCAGGAAGACATCTGCCTTTTCTTGAGCGCCATGGAGCTTGAGGTGCTCAGGGGGAGCGGGAGCTACTGAGTCTGCGGAGAGGTGGCAGAGACCTCAGGGCTCCTTGGAGCAGGCAGGAGACCTTAATGTCTGGGCTGGTGCAAAGGCAAAAGGCAGGTTCCTGGGGGTCTGATGACTCAGCCTGCCCTCTTTGCCCCTGCAGAATTTGCCTCTGCGTCCCTTGGCACCTGGAATATTACAACCCTGCAACCCTCAGGGCTCTGAGGCTTGGAGTTAGGGTTCCTCAGAATCTTAGTGCTGTTCTTTCCTACACACACACACACACACACACACACACACACACACACACACACACACACACACACACCCCTTCCGCCTCATTGGCCCCGAGCTCAGAGACGCCCACTCCACACCAAAATACCTCAGCCCTTAGGAAGGAAGGGTGAGCGAGCCGAGCAGTGAGCCGTGGGGTTGAATGTTGAATTCGGGCTTCAGGGAGATGAGCTGGGGTACAAGTGCTGTGGGGAGATGAGGGAGGGTGCGAGGGAAGGGGCGCGAGTGCACCCCTGTACCACTCTCTGCCTAGCAGGTCAGCCGAGCAGAGGCTCAAACTGTGTGTTGAACTTCTCCCCCGAGAGCTGCGCTGGCAGAGAGCCTCTGCACTCCCTTAAAGAATAACCTTTTATCCACGACTGCCCCGTGTGAGCCGGCTCTGCGGTGCCTCGGACAAGGCAGGGTCTCCAAGATCACCATTCCTAGCTAAAGAATCCCAAGGTGGCGTGTTTGGGAAGAATTGCCTCTGCCCCAATCTGGGGTGGGCAGGGAGAATGATTTGCTTTTGGGTGAAAACTTCTAATTGGCGTCGTGGAAGGCGAGAGAGGGCAGGCTGTTCCGCAGAGGACGCTTGCAGGCTTGCAGCTTCCCTGCAAGGAGGCTGGGGACGCAATGCACTACTCCTGTTTCACCTGGTCCTTTGCAGCTTCTGGGTCTCCACTTCCCCACCATTCCATCTCTCCTCTCTGTTCTCCTCCCTGAATCTTTTAGGAGTGGGGCTGGACCTCCCGGATAGCTGCAAACCTACTGACTGGGAACTTGCCAGGTCCTCTGGAGTCCCCAGGCGCAGAGAGGCAGCAGTGGGCTTGGCCATCCGGGAGCAGAAGGCCATGTGATTTGGGGGCAGCCAAGGCCAGCTGAGGGGCCTTCACTTCTTGGCAACAGCGTGCCCCTTCACTCATCCCGTTGCCAACATTTTTCTGTAGAGATGGTTTGGGGCTGGGGTGAGGAGAGAGGAGCTGGCCAGCCTGGGGAAGCAGCAAAGAAACCGAGAACCTAAAACTGGAGTAGGACGCCTCAGTCTGAACCCAGAGGAAGGGAGTGGCGGCAAAGGAGGGAGACAGGGGTGTAGGGGCAAAGTGGAGCGCCCCTACCCAAACAAAGCGGGAGACCCAGCAGCAGGGAGTCCGCGGGCTGGGGGATACCGCAGGAGAGCGGAAGATTTGGAAGCGCAGAGCTGGGACCACAGGATTCCCTAGCGCTTCCCTGCGTCCCGCTCCTGGGAGTTGGGTCTTGGTCCTCCACAGCGAAGGTCCGGCAGACCCGAGGGTACAGACTGGCCTTGCCGCCGCCGCCTTGATGCCCGCAGGAGGCCACCGCCCAAGGGCTCTCCCGGACTCCAGCCTCTTGCAGCGCGGAAGGGCGGCGCAGCTCTGGTGCCGGGAGAGCCCAGCGTGGGCTCCTCCCGCCCTGGCCACCTCCAGTGGGAACCACAGTCTGCACAGACCCGAGGCCAGAAGTAGAGAGGCCGCCAAACGCCCCCCCTACTGCAGGAAAACGCGACAGGGACACTTTCAGGGCGGGTGCCTGTCCCCAGCGCCCAACTTCAGACGGGCGGGGCGGCGACCTGACCCGGGCTTTGGAGAGCGCCGGCCTAATCGTTTCAGCAGAGAACGCGCTTCCCGCGAAAGGTTCAAAACCGGCTTTTTCAGCCTTACAGTGGCTGAGCCGACCCTTTCAGTCCAAGTTTTAGTTAAAATATATTTATTTTTTTAAAACAGGCAGCCCAAGACCACCCTCACCTCAACCTCGCAAGGGCGCAAGAACGCAGATAGTTTTCAGATTAATTGGAGGCGAATACTTTACTTTCTAACATTAAAAACAATCTGGCTGCGTCCGCCTCGGTGTGGCCCGCTGGACCCCACGGTCGCGCTGGTCCTGGCCGGGCCGCGGCCGGGACACACTCACCCAGAACACGCTGCTTCTGTCCTTCGCGGCGCGCGCCCAGAGCTGAAGACCAAAAGGCGACGCGGGAGGCGGGTCGGGTCTCCCGCTACAGCGAATTTGCGATGTATCCGGCTCCTGCGCCCTGGCCGGGGTCTCGCGAAGAACCAGTCTTGCAGGACCGGAGTAGGGTTCACCTACGGCGCGCCGCAGCCCTGCCTGGAAGCCTAGCGCGGTGCGCCCTGGGCTCCCCGTCTGCGCCCAGGGAGGCTTCTCATTCGACAGCCCTGAGCCCCCTCGCTGTGGCTTTGCCTCTTTCCGCCGTCGGCCAGACTGGGCCTTAGGCTTCCTCGTGCGAGGAGCCACCCAAGGGCCCCCTGCCCCTCTCCCTAGCACCCCTAAAGCTGGGGCGGCGCGCACAGGAGTTTCAAGGGGAGCGATAAGCGCGGAGCTCGCCGCTGAGTCGGAGGACGCGACCCGAGGACCTGTGCGTGGCTCGAGGGGACCCTGTTCTGGGCTCTGGTTCACACCCAGTCCACCTTCTAGGCTGGCTTCGGGTTGGGTCAGTTACGACGACCCGGTAGGGGACAAGGTGCTCGCCAAGCCTTCCGGCAGCGGGCCGGGCGCTCGGCGCCTTTGCTCGCAGTGGCCACTTGGGGTCGCACTTTATGCCTGTATGAGCCTCTCCACGGCGGGCGCAGCCCAGGATCTGCTTAATCGTTACAAAACGTTCAAACAAAAACAGGGCCGGCTCCCCAGCAGCCGAAAGCCACCCGGAGCACGGTCCTAGGCTGGCCTCAGCCCCAAGCCTCGGGGAGCTCCAGGTTCCGTGCTTCTGCCTGGGGAAAGAGATCCAGGGGCTTCTGGCGAATTCTTTCTGTTTTCCCTTCATCGTGCGCATTTGTGGGTGGGGAGAGCGCGGGGAGCGGCGGGCCCGTGGAGTCCCCACCTCCGGGCTCTGCCCCGCGCCCCCCAGGAGGGGCACGGTCTCTGCCCGGCCCGGGGACGCTCCCGAGACTAAGAGTTGGATTTGAACACAACTCTTGGCGGCCCAGCACCACCCCACAACGCACAAATATGCGCAGACCTGCAGAAACACAGCCATGCCCGGCGCCCACACGGCCCGCAGCTGCGCGGCTCGCGGAGCGTCCCCCGCTGGGCGGGGGCCGCTTGGGAACAAAGGGCCTTGAAGTTGTCGTCCTGGCGCTCATTCTGCGCCTCCTTGGGGGTGACACGAGCTGGGGGTGAAGGAGCAAAGGGCAAAGAGAGAGGGGAGCGCCGGCAGGGGTGGGAGCGGCGGTCTGGTCTCAAGGGGGGGCGCGCGCACCGAAGGCGAGCGGGCGGGAGCCGGGGCGCGCAGGGTGGGGGGCTGGGCCGGGGCCGGCCGTCCCACTGGGCTCCAGCGCTCAGCCAGGCCTCGGCGGCTCTCGGGCAGCTCTGGCCGCCAGTCAGCTGACTCGGGGGGCGGAGGAGCTGTCAGGCGCGCCCCGCCCTGCGCCGCCGGGGCCGCGCGGCCGTGCAGCCATTGGCCAGCGCGCTGGGCCGCCCGGGCCCCCGCGCCCCGGTGACATCAGGAAGGCGATAAAAGGCAGCGGCGGCGCCGGCTCCAGCACAGCTGCACCGCCGGGCTGCGAGCGGCTGCGAGCGAGAGCGCCCCAGAGCAGGAGAGCTAGAGAGCGAGCGGCGGGCGCTCGCCCCGCGCCTCCCCTCCGCCCAGCCGCGCGCCCCGCTCGCCTCTCCACCCCCTCCCGGCTCGGCCCGGCCCCGGCGCGGCCACAGCCCCGGGCTCTGGGGCGGCGCAGGCAGCCTCTGGACTCTCCGGCGCGCCGCCGCGTCCCCAGACAAAGGCTTGGCCGGCGGCCCCGGCCCGCTGCGCCCTCGGCTCCCCGCCTCCGGGGCTCGCCGCTCTTCGCCCCCGCTCTCGGCTCGGCGCGCCCCGGCCGGCCGCAAAGTTTCTCGGGCGTCAGCGGCGACTGCGCCTCGCGCCGGCGATGGCCGCGGAGCTGAGCATGGGGCCGGAGCTGCCCACCAGCCCGCTGGCCATGGAGTATGTCAACGACTTCGACCTGCTCAAGTTCGACGTGAAGAAGGAGCCGCTGGGACGCGCGGAGCGCCCGGGTCGGCCCTGCACGCGCCTGCAGCCAGCGGGCTCGGTGTCGTCCACACCGCTCAGCACGCCGTGCAGTTCGGTGCCCTCCTCTCCCAGCTTCAGCCCGACCGAACAGAAGACCCACCTCGAGGACCTGTACTGGATGGCGAGCAACTACCAGCAGATGAACCCCGAAGCGCTCAACCTGACGCCCGAGGACGCGGTGGAGGCGCTCATCGGCTCGCACCCGGTGCCACAGCCGTTGCAGAGCTTCGACGGCTTCCGCGGCGCGCACCACCACCACCACCACCACCACCCGCACCCTCACCACGCGTACCCGGGCGCCGGCGTGGCCCACGAAGAGCTGGGCCCGCACGCGCACCCGCACCATCACCACCACCACCAAGCGTCGCCTCCGCCGTCCAGCGCGGCCAGCCCCGCGCAGCAGCTGCCCACCAGCCACCCGGGGCCCGGGGCGCACGCGGCAGCCGCGGCCACGGCGGCGGGCGGCAGCGGCAGCGTGGAGGACCGCTTCTCCGACGACCAGCTCGTGTCCATGTCGGTGCGCGAGCTGAACCGCCACCTGCGGGGCTTCACCAAGGACGAGGTGATCCGCCTGAAGCAGAAGCGGCGGACCCTGAAGAACCGGGGCTACGCCCAGTCGTGCAGGTATAAACGCGTCCAGCAGAAACACCACCTGGAGAACGAGAAGACGCAGCTCATTCAGCAGGTGGAGCAGCTTAAGCAGGAGGTGTCCCGGCTGGCCCGAGAAAGAGACGCCTACAAGGTCAAGTGCGAAAAACTCGCCAACTCCGGCTTCAGGGAGGCGGGCTCCACCAGCGACAGCCCTTCCTCTCCCGAGTTCTTTCTGTGAGTCGCGGCCGGCCCCGGCCCCCGCCCCTGCCCTAGCCTGGACTCCCTGCCCCGCGTCCCCCAGCCCTGGACTGCCCTGGACCCTGTCCCCGCCTCGGCCCTAGCCTTGACCTGTTTGACTGGAGGGAGAGGGAGGAACGGCGCGCGGGACGCGGGCGACGGGAGGGCGCGCGGGCAGGCAGGGGACCTTGGCCGGGGCGAGAGAGGCGCGCGCCAGCGCCACCTCCTAGACTCGAGCAGAGCCAGAGCGAGACGAGGGGGGTGGGAAGTCCCGGAGCAACTTTTCTCCCGGCTGGAGGGCGGCAAGGCACAGTCCCGAGGCGTCGCCGAGGCCGCCTGGAGACTCCTGGTTTTCTGAACTTTGCGCGCTCGGCCGGAGCCGCTGCCTCGCGGTCCGGAGCGCGGTGCAGCCCAGGAAGAGAGCCGCGAGGCGAGGCGAGGCGAGGCGAGGGCACCCTGGCGTCCCGCGGGCGCCGGAGGAGACTGAGCAAAGGAAGAAAGGACGGACGGGTCTGTCTGTCTGTCCAGGGCCCGGAGAACACTGGCTCTCAGCCCGGAGACTCGAGCCTCAGTTAGGACGTTCTGCGCGCAAATCTCATCCATTTTATTGCCTGCTCGATTATATAGAAAAAATACGAAAATCTGCATTAAAAATATTAATCCTGCATGCTGGACATGTATGGTAATAATTTCTATTTTGTACCATTTTCTTGTTTAACTTTAGCATGTTGTTGATCATGGATCATCACCCCCGTATTTCTTTGAGTGAGAAGGAATCGCAGTTCGGAAACTCCCGCGGCTGCTGGCCGGGTTTCCACCCCGGCTGTCGGCTTGTAAATACCCGCCCCGCCAAATCGCTTAGAGAACGTGGCAGCAAGCTGAGCGTCTTTGTTTGGGTTTATTATGACGGCAAACATTTATTTTTTTTGTAAGTGAAGAAAAAGTTCCGGGCATTTTGCATCAGAAAACAACTTTGTCTAGGGACGCCCTTGGAAGTTGCACGTTTTCCACCCGCCCCACCCACCCCCCGTGTGGTCTTCTTTCTCCCTCTCACTTTAGTTATAAAATTTGTCTTTGTTGAAAGAGGGTTGGAGTCCCAGCTCCGGAGTAACAGGGCAGAGCAGCTGCGGAGTTCTGCACCCCCAAGTCGGAGAGGGTCCTCTCCCCCAGCCGGGTATTATGGCTAAATTGACACCCATCACGAGATCAAATGGAAAACTCTTCCCAGTGGTGACCTGAACTTGTGTTGAACCAACCACCATGCCCAGAATGTATCCGAAACCCAAACATTGGCAAGTAATTTTGCAACTTTCAAGTGTGTTCTTTAGACAGGCAAGTTAGTGTGTTTCTTTCCCTGCTTTTGAGATAGCGGGGGTTATTGGTGGTGTCCTGCCCCTTCAGTTGTATAATAGTTCTAGGGAAATCTGGGTGTTTTTCTTTATTATTACCTTTTTTTTTTTTTCCTGCAGGTCAGTAAAAGGATTTAAGTTGCACTGACAAAAATACCAAAATAAAAAAGCGTATTTTTTAGTTCCCCTTTGAAATTGCTGGCGCTGCTGGCCAGATGCATTTTTGAGTTTGTATTAGTTGATAAATTAACAGTAATAACAAGATTGTATGAACCGCATGGTGCTTGCAGTTTTAAATATTGTGGATATTCGTCCTGCATCAGAAACGAGCTTCGGTTTTTATGGATTCAACTGTGTTGAAATCAAATTTGCTGCAACAGAAATTGTTTTTATTTCATGTAAAATAAGGGATCAATTTCAAACCCTGCTTATGATATGAAAATATTAAAACCTAGTCTATTGTAGTTTTATTCAGACTGGTTTCTGTTTTTTGGTTATTAAAATGGTTTCCTATTTTGCTTATTAAAACCATGGAAATGGTGTTTATTTAGAGGAATCTGCGCTCACCCGACTGCGACTCTCTTCTCTTGCCTCTTCAAGAGGAGCTTCAATTTTCTGGCACTCTCACCCCCCCTGGCCAGTGGAGAAACACACCAAGTCCAAGCAAATCTCTCCCTTGAGTGTGTGAGTGTGTGTGTGCACGTGAACCTCAAATGTGTTTTCTGCTTCTCACCGCAGGTATGGGGCTGGCCAGGATCTGGTTTGTGAGCAGAGAGGGGGGTACACGGGGCTTTCAGGCTGGGGCCTCAGGACTGGCCTGCTATCTGCTGCTCAGCTCTGCAGTAGTGATGGCTAGAGCCCAGGAGCCTGGGAGCTTCCATCCTGATGGGGAAGTGGACTCAACAACCCTCTCCTTCTTGCCCTCTGGCCTGGGCTGCAATGCCCTGGACTTTCTGGAGCTGCCCAGAGCTGGGGAGCCTGCTCTGAGTGGAGGCCCAGTCCTCTCCCCCCAGGGCTTGCAGAAGCCAGTGGGATCCAGGTCCAGACTCTTCAGATTGAAAAGTACAGACTTGTTTCCTGGGGGCAGTGTGCTGAGGGCATGCCTGCCACTCAGGGCTGGAGCCCTCCATCCCAAAGAAAGACATTGCATGCAGCAGACCAGAATTTCAGTGGCTCCCCAAGCCAGGGGTTCGAGGGGGTTCGGGGCTTCGGTCTGTTGCAGCGGCTCCAGCTCTAACTTGGAGGTACTCACCTGGAACACCTTCACTTTTCCAGACTCTTAGAAGAGCCCACCTAGGTCTCCCCAAGCCTCTCTGGGCTTCCTTGAAACCCTGTGCCTCACCTAGAGTTGGCTTCAGACCCTTCTAAGAGTCAGAGTTGGGACACCTCCATCCCTAAATCCAAGACAAGTTCTGTACCTTTGGCAATGCCTGTTTCCAAGGGGCTTCTGGCTTCCCCGGACCTAATAACCTGCAGTCAGTGAGACACAACCTTCTGTCCCTGGGGTTCTCTGACCTGGGGGTTCTCACATGGAATTTCATGGGGAATTGCAGGAGACCTAAGCAGCAGAACCCTGGCCAGAAACTAGAGCTGGGAAAAGCCTGGGAGAAGGAAGGAGAAGGAAACTAGCATGGAATTGATTTTGGCTTTGGATTCTGGAGGCCTGGGGGTGGTGGGAAGTGTCTGGCAAATGTGTTGGGGGGTCCAAAAAGCAAGGATGCAAATAATATTAGTAGCCATATATATTTAATAACGTTTTGGTGTCGTTTAGTAGGAGAGGTTGGAGATTTTCCAGTTAAAGTCAAAGGCCCAGTTTCTTTCACCAGCCCAAAGGGGTTTATGGCAGGGAAGGCTTAGACTGATACGGGAGGCAGATGGTGGCGAGAGCGCGACTGCGGGGTCACAGTCTGTGTGCGCCTGGGTGGAGGGGCAAGGGGCTGGATAGGCGGGCAATTGCATGCGCAAGTACAGATGATGGCCCTTGACAAAAGCATGCCCACCTATACAGCTGGGTCCCCTTGGGGAGCAAGAGGTGTTGGGTCAGGTGGAGCTCTGGAAGGAAGCCCGCTGGGTGACTTCAGAGACAGGGAGTCCATGCTGTGGGGCTTGGGCCCCTCCGAAACCATCCCAAGCAGAATGACATCCTCCACCTCCAGTCCCTGCACTCGGCGGGAAAGCCTTCCTCGGTGGGGAAGGTTGCAAACTTCAAAGCATTGGTTTTCTTTCCCCAGACCACAGAGACAGACCCCATCGAGCTGACCCAGGATGACATGGAGGCTCTGGCCGGTTCATGGCGACTGGTCGCTTCTCCGAATTGCTGACCATCCCACGACGCAGCTCTAGAGACACACGGACTCACAGACACCCGAGCACCCACACCCTGCACCCACACTGACGCCCTTGCGGACGGTCAGTCTCTGCACCGACCCACGTGTGCGCACTGAGCGGCCACCCCCGGCGCGCGCAGGCGACAGCCGGCAGAGGCGCGGCGCACGGGCGGAGGCCGGACCTCGGGAGCCCCCGGGGCGGCTCCGCGCGCAGACAAGCCCCGGCCCCGCCGCGTCTGCGCCCACCGCCCGCCGCCCCCACCCGCCGGCCGCCTCAGGTCGGCGCCCACCAGCGCAGCCAAAGAGCAGGGTCCGAAGGCTCTCGGGCTCGTCCTGCGCCCCGCACCTTCCTTTTCTCTCCCCAGGCTTCCAGCGGCTCGCCGGCTCCTCGCGATCTCCCACGAGCCCGGGGGAGGAGGAACCTACCCGGTGTCCGGCGGCTTCCTCCGCGCACCTGCCCCCGCAGACAGGCTGGCGCCTGCGCTGGTCACAGACGCGGAGACAGACCCCGGGTGCACCCAGGAGACACCCAGGCCCCGGACGGCGACCCGCCCGAGTCGCGCCCCTGCTGGGTGGCGCGTCCCGCGCAAAGCCCCGCTCATGCGACCCGCATCTCGGGCGCGCGGGAGGCGGTGCTGGCGATTGCGTCGCCGCCACCTCCAGCGAGGCTTCTGGGTGCTCTGCAGCCTCGCCAGCGCCCTAGGGGTGGAGGCGTCAGCCCCCCTCTTGTCCCCTCTCACCCTTTCTGTGCCACTTCCCTTTCAGAAAACTTTCTCCTTCCTTTCTCCCTTTTTCTTTTCTTACCCCACTGTCGTTACCCCGTGCAGCCTGGCGGGGAAGGCGGTGCGCAAAGGAAGCGGATTTGGAGGTGTCTGTTAATTTTGTGTCGGGGACCTGCAGAGATGGGGATGAGGGTCTGGCCTGGGGGAGCCCAGCACAGCTCTGGGCTCTTGCTTCCAGCGCTGCAGTGATCCAGCCTTTCAGCTCCATCTTTCTGCCCGGGGCAGGGCTGGCTGGGGTTCGCCTGGGAGCGAGGTGTCTGCTGGGGGAAGTGCCGGCAAATTTCCTTTCTCGGTGAAAGGGATCTGCGGGGAAACTCGGGCTGAGATTCCTCTTTGACTCACAGCCAGACTTCCTTCAGTCCAGGGTGTCGGGGCTTTCTGGGGCTGGACGACCCCCCTTCGCTGTCAGAGGGGCCCAGTTCCCACCATCAGTGCAGCCTGGTGGTTCCCCGGTGCAGGCTTGCAGTGGGAGCTGCCCCGGCCCCACACCAGACACGTGGGGAAGGACATTGGGTTTATTCTGTGACTTAGAGCCACAGCTTCTGCAACTTCAGGCAACCCTCCACCCCTCACCCACCCATCCCTACTCTTCAAGTTTTTTCTCTCCAGGCTCTGGGAAACAGCTGGATTTAGAGATGGTAGTTGTTCCTTTGCAGGCTTTCAGATGCAAAACCCGCATTCAGGGACCTTCTGTTTTCAGAAAGGAAAACCCAGAACCCTCCCCTCTGCAGCACGCAGTCTGGAGGCCTGGCTTCTTCTAAGAAATAGTAGTCTTTGGGTTTGTTATACACGGAAGGGAGGGTTAGCGGTCAGCTCTGCACCAATCCCCCCACCAAAATAAAAGCCCTCCAGTGGCAATTTCTGTAGACAGGGTTTTTTATAGTGCAGCCCTCCTAAAAGAAGTGACTCTGTTTAAAAAGCTGCTCCGGTGCTTGTGCCCAGCACAGTGCTCTCAAGAGGTATGTCAGCTTGCAGAAAAGTGAGAATTCTGTGTCCGGGATGTTGGAAATAGTAGCCTTGTGGCTTCCAGGCTGGTGCTTTCCTGGTGACTAGCATTAGCTCCCTGTTGAAGATGGTTCGTCCTTTTTACAGTTCCTGCTCCTGGCAGCAGGTGTCCAGACCCTGGGGAGCACATATTCTCCAGGCCCTGCAAACCTGCCTGTGCCTCCATGCCATCCTCAGCACGCTGTAGCTGCCTCCTGGCCATGCCCACCTGCTCCGTGTTCTACATGCATTTTCCTTGCCTTATGTGGCTCATAATACCCTTGTCATTGTTCTACACATATTATCTTAAAAGATGCATTTAGATAAGAAAATTGGCACTAACTATTCTCACTAGAAAGAAATTAAATATATGAGATCAGTTGCTGCTCCAATAGGGAAAACCACCTAAATTGATAATAAGGATTGTTCTGAAGCAAAGCTCAGCTTTAGCTACTTCTTTGCATTCTTTGCATGCAAAGTTACTTTCATGTAAAATATGACCTACTCATTACGTGGTCCTTTTTATTAGCACTAAATAGGGGTGATGGCCTCTTGCTGGTGGCATTGGGAGGAGGCCTGATAGTTTCTGGAAGAAGCCAATTTCAGTATGAGATGAGAGCTGAAGCACATAGGTCCAATGTTTCAATTGTGTTTTCTGTTTTGGGGAGTCCTGTGCATTTCACCAGGGCTGGCACTTCTTCTGGGAAAGGGACGGGGTGGCATGGGGGGAAGCAAAGAGCTGGGAGGGTCAAGCAGGGACTAAGCCTGGCCTTGTGACTCTATGGGAATCAGGAACTGAGGCTGCGCTGGGCTCACTGTCATGTTCTTGTGTGTCTTCTGATCTGACATGTTCACCACCTTGGCCCTGCCAGGGTTGCCTGCATCGGGACTGTCCTGAGGCTGGGCTGCGGGCTTTCTGAGGCTGGGTGATTCCCCCTTTGCTGTCAGAGGGGACCAGCTTCCACCATCAGTGCAGCCTGGAGGCTCCTGGGTGCAGGCTTGCAGTGGGAGCTGCCAGGTTCCACCTGGACACATCTGGAAGGGCATTTGGTTTATCCCAGCCTGACTGAGGACGCAGCTGGGCTGCCCTTCCCAACGAGGAGTTTGGCATCTGCCCTCCTTTGTATCCTGGGAGCCCAAGCTGGTGCACACGTCTCTGTTCACTGACAGGGGCAAGCAGACCACAGAGCATCAGAGGTGTGGCTGAGTCACCAGGTTAGTCCCATTATGATATTTCACTAAACTCTCTGAAGTGTGGGCTACTGCTCTCCATCTACACAGGTCAGTGATGGGCAGTAGGCCCAGAGTGGTCACCTCTTGCCTGGTGTCACTCATTGGAAGATTTAGAAGGTAAATAACCCCCTATAGGAGGCCAAAATTTGTACTTTGCCACCAAACTCCATGAGTCCATGATCCTTTATCTGAAACACTTGGAAGCGATGGGCAAAAGGGTGTAGGGGGAGGGGAACACACGGGGAAAACAGGAGGGGACAGCTTTCTTTCTAATTCTCCTTTCAGAGGCAATCTCTTGGGGGCACCCTCAGTGCTCTTCAGCCACCAAAGTCCCTGCCCAGGCACGGAGATGGGCTTTGGGGGCAAACACGACAAAGGTGTCAGAAGGAAATTGCTGCTCAGCCTCTCATTTTTGTCTCTCACAGAGGAGCTGCCTGGGTCTGGAGTGTGCATGTGTGAGTGCGTGTCCGTGTGTGTGTGTGAGTCTGTGTGTGTACACGAGGGTTCATCAACAGTCCTCTCACCTCTCATCTGTTCTCAGCTGAAC